CCCTCATCAGGTTGTAGTGACTTCAGATTTGACTTTAGATTTAGTCAGATGACCGAATATACATGATAGTCCCATCATTGATATGAACACGTTCAGCCTACAGTGAATGAAGAACAAAACAAACTTTTCAAGTAACACAATAAAGTTGTCATGCATAGAGAAATAATTGGTCCTTGAAATTAAAGAATTATGTGTTAATTTAAAAAAAAAACAAACAAACAAAGTGGTGGTGCCACAGCACATGTGGGAATGACTTGAATTAAAATCTTTTGCAAGAAACCTCAGAACAAAAAATCCCTGTGCACGATTGTTTATTAGAGCTGCTAATTCTAAGTAATAGGTCCCGTTTCTCAACCTATTTGAAAACTTACTTCATTTGATTAGCAATAATATACTTAACCTCTGTCCACTGAAGTCCGGTAGCTTGTCTGCGACAGGTATTTCTGCCCATATCCACCTCCAGCGTCTTAGACCTGCTGTGACCTCTAACTCTCTCTGCTGTCATTATCACTTCTTAATCCCGTTTCCCTTTTTAACCTTGTATCTCTTGCTCTCTGTCTCAGGATCAACGTGTCTTTGGAGGGCCAGTTTCTGCATTACATCCACCGACACCAGTACCTCGACTCTCCTGAGTGGGAGTCTCTTAGACCAAACGAGGAGGGAAAGTTCCAGGTACAGTGTCTTTATGCATGCTCAATCATCCAGGTAAGAAAATTCCAAAAATCTGATTCTGTTCACCTGGACTTGGCATTTTTTAGCGGGTGAAACGTTTCGTCATTCATCCAAGTGACTTCTTCAGTCTCATCTGACTGCAGGTTTCCCCAGCTGTACATTTGCATAATGACCAACACTAGCATCACTGACCAACAATGGGCTGTGAGGTCAGTTTCTTGATGCTAATTGCACAAATTGTCATGACCATTGATCAACAACCAAATACAAGACACTGATGCAGTTTCTGCTTAATTCTGCAAATCTCAGGCGTGGAAGTAAAATCAAGTTGAAAAGCTGTCACTGAATGAGCTTGAATGAGGAACCAGAAGTGGATATCAAGTTGTGTTTAGTTGCCGGCTATCACACTCAGCATCTGACTGATAAGCTGAACAGGGAAAAGCAGTTGTCCTCTTGTCTTTCACATATCCTGTTGCATTTGATTGGTTCAGTTAAAGTAGAAACAAGGCCTCGAAATCTTATTGGACGTTTAGGTGGTGCTTTAGTTTTAAGGGGCTTTCAGACAGGGAGGGTGTGCCATCTGATGAGGTGGACTAATACAAGCAGAGACGTTTGGGCTGCTTTCATTATCATTTAATTATCAGTTTTTTTTTATTTATTTATTGTGTTTAAAATGTTACAAAACAGTAAAATATAATAAATGTCACCCTGAGGACATTATTTAATTAGATCAACAGTTTAAAACCAAAAGATATTTAAGTTACTATTATATTTAAAAGTATCAGCAAATACATTGATCATTTTAATCCACTATAAAACAATTATAATGGCACTTGTAATAAATAGTTATATTTTACGAATTACATCTAGTAGCTTTTTTTTTAACCTTCAAGGTTACATTACAAACCCAACTGTCAATGAATGAAGTAGAGTGGAAAGGGAGATCTTATTCGCAGCTCTTCTTCTACTCTCAGGCTCAGAGTACTCCATAAACTCAATATAATTCACAAAGTCACCAGCTGTGCAGGCAGTAGTTATTATAAGATTGTCAGTGTGACTTCTGATTTATGCATTAGACTTTGATAAATATTGGCTTGTTATTTTGTTTAGTCTTTTAAAGCACAAGTCATAAGATCGGGGTGGCGCTGACCGAGGAACCCAGGAATACTCACATCCAACTTATCAATAATGAGTTAGCCACAAATGAAGTGTACCTATTAATTATTCTACTTTAAATGTGACATTAAAATGTAGAAAATGTTCTACAATAAACAACTGACTGAGACGATTAACTCCTAAAAAAAATGAAGTCACAAAGCTACGGTGACTCTGAAAGATCAAACGCACTGCAACCGAAGAAAACGTTGTCAAATAGACAACTCTCCAAATGCAAAGGAAACTGAATTAAAAAAATTTGAATTAATCACAGCATAAGTGACAGAACAGGCTAACACTAAACGACTGATAGCAAAGATGTTTCTACAGTATTACTTCTCTTGTGTTTTGTATGCTTTGGTAGCGTTTTTCTGTTTGCTGGTGTCTTCTTAGGTTGCAGTGTGTTTGGCCTCTCAGGCCACCAAACAAATCTGAAACACGTCCATTTTCTTACAGACATCTATGCAACTGGACTCTCTTTGCAACTAGGTGTCGCCCCCTGATGGTCACTAAAAAGAATCAAGGTTTCAGGCACTTACACTTTTTCTTTCTTTCTTTTTTTTCTTTTTCTTTCTTTCTTTCTCTTTCTTTCTTCATTTATTTTACCCTTTGTCAGTGATTTGCTTCTAAGGAAATGCCAGTATGTGGTGCTTTGGGAATGAGAATATGTCGGTGAGGCTATTGCTCCAGTGCTTGCAAGCAAAACCAGAGCCAGCTTCTAATGACGTTGTTCCATGCTGCTAATAGTGGTCAAAGGTTCTAAAGTGCCTCTTTTATACACTGATAGTATGGTGTGTCATTCGTTCTGCCCAGGTGACCCTGACAGCAGAGGAAGATTCCTGTTACATCTCATGGCGTCGCCGCCGCCTCTACATGCTGATATCAAAGGATCGCTACATCGCCCGTCTCTTCTCTGTAATGCTGGGACACGACATTGCTGAAAAGCTCTACAACCTCAACAACAAGCTCTACATCAAAAGTGGCGTGTTGTTGGACATCCGCCTGCCAAGCCTCTACCACGTGCTAGCTCCTGCCTCGCAGGGCAGTGAGGGTGGCAGCGGCAGTGACGGAGGCCCTGCCAGGGAGCAACAAACTGAACAGCAGTGCCAAGACCCAGAGCTCACCTACCAGATGCCTGACAGACCTAAACCTCAGCCTCTCCAGCCCAAACCTCAGGGACCAATGAAGACAGCCGTGGAAGAACCCTTGTATGACCCTTATCACCCTTCCTGGGCGTCTGACCCGGAGCTGCCCATTGGTGAGGACTCCACCAGCCTAGTCCTGGAGGACTTTGCTGATGTGGCGGGCTCCTTAACGGATTATGGCAGTGAGAGGGAATATTTGAGGTAGAGAGGGAGGGTGTTGGAGCTAACACACGGGGGCACCACTTAAGCTACATGTAAGTACCGCACCTGGGCGAAGAGTTGCATGGGGTGGTGTGTGTGCATGGAAGGCTTGTGGTACACATTTCTTACTAACCCGGCTTTGTGTTGCAATATAATCATATAAATCATTATCATAATGATAATGACTGATATGATAATTAATATAATCATTATTTTATTCAACATTAGTGGACCTATTACTCTTACTCCTCATTTTTGTCATATATATGTTGGTAGATGGCGGATGCTCTTATTAAACAAGTTTCAAATGATAAAGTCATCAAGTAATCCTTGTGAGTCAAAAGTTGAGGGCAAGAAGTTTTACCCACCGTGGATCTTTATGATGTCAAAGAGAGGACATATTCATAATATGGTCATCGTAGTCCCACCCATGTGATGTTTAAACCTTCTGTTTGTGAGGAGTAGCCAGTCAGGCACTAAAACAACTTGTTTCAGAGCGCGGATGAACTGAGGGGCTGCACAAAGGCCCAGTGAAAGATACAAGGATATAGATGTATTTGTATTTTTGTAGGGTCTTTACCTTTCAAGATAAAGCACCTTGAGATGACTGCTGTTGTGATTTGGTTCCATATAAAAATAAAACTGAACTCAATTCTAAAGTTTATATCCAGGCATCATGGGCATGGTAATTTTGAGCTTGATTTTTTTTTTCTTTTTTTTTCCAGGGTGGAATGATTGTACAGCAAACGTCTTTAATGACGATCAAAAACAAGAATTGGGTGCACAACTTTGAATTTTGGAATTTTGGATACATACAACCCATTGACAAGCTTCTGGCACAGTTCTGGTTGGGTATTTGACCACCTTTCTGGCTGACTTTAAATTGCTTCTGGCATGGATCTTCACAAATTTTCAACAGAGTTGAGGTTGAAGTCATTCCAGAATCTTAATGTTAGCCTGATTTATCCCTTCCAAGTTGAAGTTGAAGAATCTGGAGATACTCTTCCTTGTTCATTATTTCACATGATGGTTGACAGTTGGTAAAGTGTTTTTAGGTCTGAAAACCTTGCGACTCCTGTAAACATACCTCATCATTGTGGAAAAATAGTTGAATCTTTGTCTCGTCTGAACATAAAACTTTGGCTTGTTTATGTGAGAAAATGCAAATTTCAGTCAAGCTCATTTTGGAGCAAGGCTTCTTTTTGGTCATGACCCTTACCTTGAGATGAGAGGAAGTTGGTTAACAGTTTGCAGTTTACTTCCAGAGCTTGGCAACATGATGACACATTGAATAAATGGTCTGGTTCTTATATATTGCTTCCACTTGCTCTATAACTTGAAAAAGGGGAACAGCTTGTACTTTGGTACCGTTCTTTGAACTGATGATCCTGGAATCTGCAGTTGTTTAGAAATTGCTCCATTAAGTTTCTGGAATGGCTTTCCCAAAGCCTTGACCTCAACTTTTGAAATTTGTTGAATACACTTAAAAACTGGGTCTGTGCCAAGACATCAACCAATTTCAATGAACTCTACCAAGTCTGACAAGAAGAGTGGTCACATATCCACATAGTTATACGTAAGAAGCTTATTGATGGCTACCAAAAGCATCTGGTTGAGATTAAACCAAACCAACCATTAACCAAACATTAGCAAACGGTGCATGTATACTTTTAACCATATGTTGATTAGAGAAAAAACAAAAACAAAAAACAATCCATCCAATTCTTGTTTTGAAAAAGACATTCAAGAGCTATTCTACCCTGGAAAAATAACAGTTCACATCTGCCTCGACATCATGTCCATGTTGAGTGTATGTAAACTTCTGACCACAACTATAAATATTAATTATTTTGATGTGCAAACAAGGAAAATCTATTCTAGTAGAGTCTCAGAATAAAAATATGAGTCCATTTGAGTGTTTGGTTTGGTTGTACATTCATTTTCACTGCATTTAACAAGAATTAGTGTGGTTTTAATTTAACCTTATTTACATTATGACAGATCAACAGCTCAAATGACCCAAAAAACATACATATTAAAAGGTTAATTATATAAAATCTGACAAGTCTCAGCCATCCAATATTCTGCCTAGATGTTCACGGATTAATAACAATAAATTATAATATTATTGTTAATAATTATATCATTAACACACTGAAGGGAAGGGAATAATAACTACTTTCACTTTAAAAGTGCATAAAGGTTTTACATGTAAAGTTATACATATAAGACTTTGTATTACATATGTATTCTTTTGTGTTAAAGTACATATGTGAAAAGTATGTGTATATATGACCTAAGAATATCCTAAAAAGAAAATCACATTTATGAGGTTCAAAGTTCATTTTTTTGACCACAGAAACAGAAGCTTGGAAATTCAAGTGAAGGTGTTTCTACTTAAACTTAAAAAATCAAATCAAAGGTCTGTAATTCCTTGACAACTGGACACGTTTTTCTATTATTAAATAGATACATGTGCATTATTAGCAAATGTGGTAAGATTAGGTCAAATTGAAGGCTTATCAATTAGAAAAAAAATTAAATTACAGCTAGCACACAGTTAATAGTTTGGATCGCTTAATTTCACCAACATTTGTTCAATGCACTATCACATCATCCAACACTAGCGAAACAGGTGATTTAAAAGGTCATTTTGCTCTAAAGTTGACTCTTTTCCCCTTATTTCATTTATCTTGAGAGGAATTCTTTTGCATTTAAAAGTATTCAACATATACAGTAAATCTGACTAATCATTGCACTTGTAAATTTTTTGTTAAAAACTTTCTAACTAGTTCGTGCTCATGGTAGATTGCCATTAAATGGTGGCTGGAATTCTTTTCTGCTGGCCTCCTCCCATGCTTTAAAATCAGAACTCCCTCCCTGCCAGCTGCTCTGCATTAGTGTGCTTTGGCCACGCAGCTCACATGCTTAGTTATGTCTGGCACAGTTAGCAGAGTTAAACTTGTTCTCTGTAAATAGTGAAAACACTTTAACAAACGAACATAGAGTGGGCCCACTGTGGTTGTAGACAGTCAATTGGGCCCACTGTGTGGGTGTATTTTCCGTGTGTGTGTGTGTGTCTGTGGGGAATTGTTTCTCTCCTGTCTCATCTGTCTCAATACATGATGATGAGGCTTTGTTGAGGTTGGGCAGGCACCAGCTGTGACCTTATCTGGCGAGGATTAGAGCTTGTAAATTTAGGGGATGTTCAGAAAATTCAGTGCCATGCTATTAATCCAGTGTCCCCACCCTTTGGCTTTCTGTCTGCTTATCTGTTCACCCCTCCCCTCCATCTCTGTCTGCCCTGCCCAATCACAGGTGGAGGATCACGTTTCACAGCTGGACAGTGGAGTCAGTGTCAGGCTTGGGTTGCACAGCAGCTGTGAAGCAGCAGGTCAAATCTGTCATAGCTGCAGCATACCTCTCAGTTCAGATTGGAGTCAATGACTTCAAAGCGGGTTGGACAAGCAATCATATGCTCACAAAATTTCAAAAATCAGGACACTACAAGAAAAGAAATCCTCTTCTTGCACGCAAATGTATCATAGTCATCGCATCTGTGGGTCTGTGTGTGAGTGGATGAGCAACCGTAAACTCTGAAATGGAACTGAAGAAAAACATAAGCCGTTTGCTCCTCTGAATCACAGCAGGCAGTGACCAGCATTCAACATTCACATTCATGACATTAATAATATGAACACAGAACAAGTATACTGCAGATATTTGCCGTGTAGTGTCTGGCTATTTACAGGCATGCAGAGTAGTTTCTTGAGAGTGTAAATGCTAAAATCCACTCAAGTATTCAAGAGGGAAAAGGGTCAACAACCTTTTGAACAGGGGTCTCGAACTCCAGACCTCGAGGGCCGGTGTCCTACAGGTTTTAGATGTTCTTGATCCAACACAGCTGATTCAAATGGCTAAATGACCTCCTCAACATGTCTTGAAGTTCTCCAGAGGCCTGCTAATGTACTAATCATTTGATTCAGGTGTGTTGACCCAGGGTGAGATCTAAAACCTGCAGGACACTGGCCCTCGAGGCCTGGAGTTGCCCAGCCCTGCTTTTGAACCTAGACAAATGGAAAGGTTTAATGCATGCCCGTTATTTTGTTTTATAACCTACATGATAAGGGCATCAAGGCAGCTAGTGTAGTGACCATAGGGTGCACATAGTCAATTCTATATAGTTAATTAGCATTTAATGAAATTATGACCAACCTAGGGAATCTCAGTTTGGTTCTTCCGGTATTATTTGCACCCGTGACTCCTTGCAGCAGTTTTGGGGAACTCCAGGCCTCAATGTCCCTGCAGGTTTCAGATCTCACCCTGGGTCAACACACCTGAATCAAATGATTAGTTCATTACCAGGCTTCTGGAGATAATTTAGCCATTTAGATCAGCTGTGTTGGATCAAGGACACATCTAAAACCTGCAGGACACCGGCCCTTGAGGCCTGGAGTTTCCCACCCCTGACTTAGTGCCACAGTGTCTCTTTGTACTGCAAAACTGTAGCACTAGATTGGACGACCTTGGGTATCACAGAAAAGAAACACCTGGGGCAATCAAATATTGACAATTTTTCTTGCAATTAATGAGAAAATTTAAAATATAAATTTGAGGCAG